CGATCCCAGGACCCTGGGACCATGACCTGAGCTGAAGGCAGATGCTTCACCAACTGAGCCACCTAGGCGCCCCTGGAAACCAAAATTTTTAAAAAATACCTTTTACGGGGCGCCTGGGTGGCTCGGTTGAGGGTCCAACTCCTGATTTTGGCTCAGGTCATGACTTCAGGGCCGTGGGATTGAGCCCTACACTGGGCTCCATGCTCAGCGGGGATTCTGCTTGAGATTCTCCCTCTGCCCCTTACTCCCTTGCTTTCTCTCTCTAAATAAATAATAAAATCTTTAAAGAAATACTACCTTTTACAATAGTTCAAGAATGAAAGAAATAGTTAGGTACTGACCTAAGAAAGCATATGTTTATGCTGAATACTACAGGATGATGACTAAAAAAAAAAAGCAAAGACACAAAGAGAGACAAATTACGTTCCTGGACTGGAAGACAACATAGATGTCAATTCTCTCCAACCTGACCTGTAGATTTAATACAACTCCAATCAAATCCCAACAGGGCTTTTTGTAGCTATAGACGAGGGGATTCTAAACCTTATCCATACTGGCAAAGGAACAAAAATAGCTCAAGTCATTCTGAAAAACAAGAATAAAATTGGAGGACTCACACCACTTGAGCTAATGCTCATTAGGATGTAGGCTATCAAGACAGACTGGTGTTGGTGCAAACACAACAGATCACACGTACATGGCAAATTAACTTGACAAAAGCACAAAGTCCATGGGCAGAGCGGAGGCAAACAATGGACATTCATTTCCATAAATGGTGCTGGAACAACTGGCCATCCAGATGCAGAAAAATTCATCTAAACTTCATGCCTTGTATAAAAATCAACTCCAAATTTTTGGATCAAAGGTCTACGTGTAATATGTCACAATATATTTCTAGAAGAAAGCACAGAAAAACCTTCATTATCTGGTGGAAGGCAAAGAATTCTCCGACATGACACTAAATGCACAATCCATGTCACAAAAAGTCGGTAAGTAGCACTTTACCAGAACTTAAAATTTTATTCTAAAAAGCGCTAAGCAGATGAAAAAATAAGCTACAAACTTGAAGAAAACATTTACAAGTCACATGCCGGACAAAGAACTTGTCCCTAGAACATGCAAACAACTCTCAAAACTCAACAGTAAGCAAACAACAAACCCAACTGAAAAATGGGCAAAACCAACAAGCAGACACATCTCCAGAGAAGATGCTCACCTTAGATGTTAGGGGAACGCAAACCAAAACAGAATACCAGCACGTGCCTTGGTAACAAGGGCTAAGACGGGGCGTGGAGCACGGGAACGCTGCCTGCAAACATTGTACGCAAACATTCAGAGTAGCTCTACGCATGACTGCTAAAATCTGGAAATCACCCAAATGCCCTTCAACAGGTATATACTCAAACTGGCCCATCTGAGCCGCCGAATGCTTCTCAGCCCAAAACAAAAGGACAAATCTCTGATTCACAAAACATCTTGAATCCCCAAGGCATTCTGCCGAGTGGAAGAACCAGTCTCAGAAGGTTGCACACTGTACGATTCCATCACAACACCCCTGAGCGGGCAGTAATGACGGAGCACGGGGCTCTGGCGGTGGGCTCGCGCGGGGAGCGGGGGGCACAACGGGGCAGCGTCTGCAGAGGTGGAGGGGCTATTCTGTGTTCAGACCAGGATGGCGCCCACATCAATCTGTACATGTGGTGAGATGTACAGAGCTGCACCCGAAACACATAAGTCAACTTTCCTACAACAAATTAAAAGGGCTGTTAGAGAGAAAGTGCAGCGGACTCACCCGCCGCGGGCCCAGGTGAAACTGCAGCTGTGGCCTCCAAACGCAGAGAAGGAATAACATCGACCCAGAATTCTAAACCCAGTCAACATCTAAACCAAGGGTAGAGTTGGGGCGCCTGGGTGGGGGGTCTCAGTCAGTTGGGCGTCCCACTCTGGATTTCAGCTCAAGTCGTGATCTCAGGGTCGTGAGATGGAGCCCCACGCCGGGCTCCAGCTGGGCATGGAGTCTGCTCAAGATTCCCTCCCTCCCTCTGCCCCTCACCACCGCACACTCTCAAAAACAAAACAAAAATACACCTGCGGACGTGTGAAGCCGGGGGCCCCGCAGGACAGAGCGGCAGCCGACACCTCAAGTCGGCCACAGGGACAAGCACAAAGCAGCACGCCTGGTGCCGTGGCCACTGTTGATGGTTTGTAGTAAGTACTTTTTAAAAAGATTTTATTTATTATTTGAGAGAGAGAGACACACAAAAGAGCGAGAGACAGAGAGAGAGCGGGGAGGAAGGGGAGAAGCGGGATCCCTGCGCGACCCTCGATCCCAGGTCTCTGGGATCATGACCCGAGCAGACGCGTCACTGACTGAGCCCCCCCAAGGCGCCACTTAAGAAGTACTTAACATGGACTCGAAATTCTAGGGAACATGCAGAGGGAGCAGGAGGTCAAACGAAGGCCTAAGTGGAAATCACACTGTGCAGAACGTCAGATGGCCCGGCTGTCCCTGAAAACCAGCCTGGCAGCTCCTCAAACATGTCAACACGCGGCCTATCGCCTCCCCTGGCGGGCACCGTCCCAAGAGCAAGGGAACCCGGCCACACACAAACCGCACATGACTCTCCCAGCAGCACGGCTCGCGACAATGTGGGGACAGACAGCCTGTAAGTCCATTCGTGGACAAATCAACAAATGTCGTCTGTAACTGGCGTCTCGTTCAGCCCTCGGAAGAAAAGGAGCCCTGAAACATCCCGCTCAAGCCGGGCGTGAAGGCCATGCTGCATGACTGCATGCGGGTGCGCGTCCAGAACAGGGAGTCCACGGGGACAGAGCGCGGGCTGTGCTTGCCAGGGGCGGGGCCCGCTGCCTTTTGGGAGCTGACAAGGGACTGGAACAGACCTGTCACCCGGTCTGCCTGTAGAGCCCATGCTATCTGAGGGCACCCCCGCCTCCCCGTAGGAGAGGCTCCCCGTAGCAGCCAGCACTCAGCAAGGGCAGGCGGCTGGTGCTCTCGGCTCTGGTGTAGACTTCCACCTGCTTCTTCTGGAGCCTGACCGTCCTCCTCGACACTGCAGGACTTCTCCAGCAAGTTCTCTGGACCCAGACCCCCGGCCCCCTGCGGGCCGGTGGGGATAAAGCTGCCCTGGAGAGCAAGGGAGGACTGGCAGGCAGCCTCGCCGGGGCCCCCCTCAGCTCGCCGGCCACCCCACAATCCACCTTCCCCCTTCTAAAATGGGTTCACATCTTTCTGCCCTTGCCTTCCACCCCACTCTGTCCCCATGGGCAAAAACCTTTCTAATCCTCTTATTTTACTGCACTGTTTTCAGGAAAAGGAAATAAATTCACTAACGTACTTGGTTTACCCCGACTGACCTAATGGAAAACAAAATGCACACACACACACACACACACACATCATATACAAATTCCGAAAGTAAAAGCCCAATGTGTTGAAAATAAAGCTTTAAAACCATCAAGTATTTTCTTGGGGAGACTTAGCACTTCCTGAATAAGTGGTCAACATCACAATCCACAGGAACATATTACCCAACTCATCATATTTATGTTTTAGGTTCCTGTACGCTAACACAGTTCAAAGACACAATCAAGGACCAGTCTTGCCAACGGTAGGAAAACAAGACCGACAACCCAGGAGACAGGTGGACAAGGGCGGGCTGCACCCAGGTCAAGAGCCCGACGCGGGCAGTCTGTGCCCTGCAGCTCGGAGGCAGGGGTGACAAGCGGGTGCAGTCAACTTGGCACCAGCTCAGTGCGAGGCTTCCCGCTGGAGAGGACGCTGTGGTCTCATCTGTGGAAACGCAGGAAAGAAGCAACTCGTGAGGACGGCGCTCTGGAGAGCTGGGAGGGAAGGGCCCGGAAGGGCTTCACTTTTCTGCTGCATTTCTCTTAGCACGACAGCACACATCCTAGGGCTCGTTTCTTTCTTCTCAGTGCTTTTCTATCACGTCAACTCTCGGACACAGAGAAGTGAGTCACAGTGTCAGGGGAAGTCAAATGTGTCGTGGGTTCTCTACAAAGACACCTGGGTAGGCCCCCGCCTGGCCCTCTGGAACCAGGCAGTTCTGAGAACAAACGAGGGGCCACCAGCAGCGCGGTGGCCACTGGCCAGGACCCCCAAGTCTGCCCCAGTCCCGCACCGCCCAGGGCTGAGGCCCCGACCCAGGTCTCATGGAGGTTCAGGCCTGTGGTCAGGGCGCCAGAACTACTGGCCGCCGGTGGGAGGAAATGCCTGGCGCCTGGACAAGTCCTGGTTCAGGGGAGGCAAATGCAGAAGAATCTACTGGCCGCCCTTCCAGCACTAGAGGTCCCCGCGTGGACCTGCTCTTGAGGCAGCCCCTGGGGAGGCCTGAGGGGGGAAGAACTAGCTGGCGAAGAACATTCCAGAAAAAAGAATAGCAGGAGCGAGCCTGCAGTGTCAGGGAGCCCACGTAACTGCTCGGGGACCTGGTGACTTGTGGGGAGGGGGCCGAGGGAGGGCAGAGAGCCAGGAGGCCCCTGTGAGGGTTACCGCCACCAAGGCCAGAAGCAAATGGACACCACTCTCCACAGAGATTTAACAGTTTAATAACGACTTCTCCACAGCCCGACGGGGCAGCTAACCCACCCCGTCTTGCAGCAGGGTCCACTGTGCACCCCACACTCGCCACAGGGGCAGCTGCAGGATGTCCTGAGGACACAGAGTGCCCTCCCTGCCCGTGGCCTGGCCGGGCCTGCACAGCAGGACCTCTCCTCAGAGTAGTGGCCAGGCCTGAGAACGTCCCTCCTGTCCAGGCCAAAGGGCGGGCCATGGTAGCAGCTCACCCTGCCCCTCTGCTCACCTTGCCCCAAGCACCCACACGGACGGCCCGCCGGCAGGTACTGACAGGCCTGCAGCCCACCCCACGTGGCCTGGGCTGAGCGGCCTCTCCCAGGAGGTGGCCCCTTCCCAGCAGGACATGAACGTGGCAGGTGCCCACCCAGCACGAGGCTCAGGCCCAGGGTGGTGGCCCCTCACCAAGCCGTCAGGCCCAGCTACTCCTGACCCCCGACCCCTGACCCTGGTGGGAGGCGGCTAGAGCCCCGTCAGGTCCACAATGGCCTTGATGAAGATGGCGTCATCACGCACGTATGAATTCTTGGCCTCCATCTTGGAGACGGGGCAGAAGAGGGGGCAGCCACTGGCGATGTTCATGTCACTGACTGGCCTCTGGAAAGAGGATGAGGTCACGTCGGGTCTAAAGGCATCAATCACGTGTTCCCGGTTGTTCTGGTCAAGCAGCATTAAGGTCACCTGGAGGGAGAGCGGCCGGGGAGGGACACCACTCTGAGTCACAGCCCCACCCAGCTCCAGCTCCCTGTCTGGGTGATCGGTACCCATTCCGGCACTTTCCGTCCATCAACCCCCGGGGTCTGAGGCTGCAGTTAACACTGCGGAGCTGCCTTGGTTGGTGCCTCGCTTGCTCACGTTCACATGACAGAGGCTCTCGTACCGAAGAGCTCACAGAGCCCCCACTGCCCTCCCGAAGGAACAGCGCCCTGTGCTGCCACCCCGACCAGAAAGCCCAGAGCCGGCCCAGCGTGGTGGGGGGAGAGGACGATGGCGCTGGCACCTTCAAGCCCTCCACCAAGGGCAGGTTCCGGTTCTCAAGAGTGTTCCGTAACACCTGCAGGCGCAGGCTCTCCAACTGGACTCCTTCCTTGGGAACCGACTCTGAGGCGGCATCTTTAACCGCTGGCCCCGAGGGGCCGTGAAGCCAGGGAGTCGACTGGGTGGTGCCCGAGCTCCACTGCAGGGACAGACCCATCTGGAGCCCGAGGGCCCGTCCTGACAAGCTCCCCACCCCACGGGGCCCCTCGGACAGCCGCTGGGACAGCCTCACGCACCTTTTGGTTGAAGGGCCACCGCAGGAGGGCGTCGTTGGGGCCCTTCATCACCACAAAGAAGAGAGACAGGTGTGTCCCGCGCCCGGTGCCGTCTCCATTCAGGTAGATGCGCAGACACATCTTGTAACCATACCTGCTTGTGTAGAAGGCTGCGGGGGGGGGGGGGGGCGCTGGTGAAGCCACGCCGAGGGCTCCCCCAAGAAACACAAACACAGAGAGAATGCCCAGGTTTGGGGGCACATACTTTTTCTCAAAGTGTGCAGACTTAGTTCCTAGTGAAGACAAGTGCCCCAGAGGAAAAATAATTCATTAGGGAAAGCCTTTCTAAGAACCCTGAATGCAAGCCCAAAGTGGCCACACGTGAACCAGCCGTGAAGCTCAGCGGTGGCTCGGGCTCTGGGCAAAGGACTGTGGTCAGACCTGAGCCCGGCCTGGAGGGGGCAACAGTGGGTGACAAGGTGGGACAAGCTGGAGGTGACACTGCCAACCCCCAGCAGGGTGCACAGAGACACGCGGGAGCCAAGACCTGACGAGAGCCAGGCCGTCCCTAGGAGCAGACCTCCCTGCCTTCCTGCTCGAGCCCCCAGAAACCACCGTCCCTCAGCTCCCCAACACGGCCCTGCTCGAGCAGGGCGACTCCAGCTGGGGTGCACGCCTGACCCCCAGCCTGCAGCCCCCTTCTCAGTCAGGTTTTGTCAGAGATGAACTCAGAAGCAATTCCCATCAGCAGGGATACCCCCACTCCCAGGGGGACGTGCTAGCAAGGAGGCACCTGCTCGAGTCCAGTGCAGAGAGGACGGCGCCCCGAGCACACGGCCCGCTCCCCCCCAGGAAGCCAGAACATGGGCTCTGTCCACGACCACCCCAGGAGACACGGCAGATCACACGGCAGCTCTGCCTACGGGCCGCGCTCCCCTTCCTGCCCCGTAACCTACAGCAGGAGAGGGACCTACACCCTCTCAGCCCGTGCCCTGGGATGCACCATGGCAGCAGCCTCACCAAGGGCACCGTTAAAGGGCACATGCGGCACTCTCCACCAGGGGGAGGCCCGGGCAGGGGTGAGGCGGCCGTGCAGCTAGGCGCCCCCCCTCCCCCCACCCCCACCCAGGAAGGGCTGCGGAGCAACTGGGCCAAGGCAGAGCATAGGACTCAACTCCGAGTCCCCACTCGCGGTTCCGTCCCTGAACACCCAGCGGAGAGGCGGCGGGCGTGGGGATTCCTCCCCCGTCGGGGAGGCGCGGCAGCCACTCGTACTGGCAGGGGGCTCCAGCCTGGGGGGCACAACCATGTCAGACAACAGCTGCACTGAGGGCAAATCCCAGAACAGCACCTGGGGAGAAGATGGCGGGCGTGCGACCGGCCACGGCTTCCTGACGCTTCCTGGCGAAGTCGGAGATCTTCCAGACGAACACGCCATCGAAGGTGGTTGCCTGCATCTCGTGGACCTTCTGCTCCAGCTCGGCCATCGCCAGGTCCTTCAGACCGATGCTCCTCTCCAGCTGCTGCACCTGGGGGGCACGGGGAGCCCCGTGAGGGTGCGCGCCTCCTGAGTGCCGGTGGGAGGGGCCGTGAGCCTCCACCCAGTGCGCCTCTGAGGCCACCTTGCATTTCGCAGGAAGGTGCTTATCAAAGTGCCCCCACGCCTATCTTCCCACCAGTTTCAGGCAGGACGGCATCTTCCAGTGCCCCCGAGGTTTCACTGGGCTCCGCAGATCTTGAGTAGGCTCCATCCCCACAAGACCCCCAACCCCACCTATGGCCGGGGTTCAGGAGCTCCGTGCAGGCAATACACTCACAGAGCCCACATCAATCGCGAGGCCTGTCCCCCCACAGGCCAGAGAGAAGAGGCAATCTCAGAGCGACCACTAGGACCCCTACATCAGGCAGTCAGTGAGTAGGGCTCAGAAAGGCGCTCTGTGCTAGAAATCAAGGTGCTGTCCTTAAAATCCCAGCTCTGAGGCCCCGTGATGCCCTGGGACCCGCCCAGACTAGCCCCGTGTGCCCCAGGCCCAGACCTTGTTACTCAGGGCCTCGATCCTGTCCTGGTCCAGCCGGTGCTGCCGGCCGCAGGCCTCAGCAGTCATGGCCACCCTCTCCACCTCCCGGTTCAGGACGCAGACAATGTTCTCGAAGGTGGCCGTCTTCCTCTCCAGGGCCTCACACCGCTGCCGCAGCTCCGCGGCCTTGGAGAGCTCCAGCTCGGGGTGCAGTGTGCTGGCCTCCCAGCCCCCCACCTCGCTCTGGCCCAGGAAGTGGCCACCTGCTCCTGAGAGGTGCTTGGCCTCCAGGAGGCCGCCCAGCAGCATGGCCAAGTGCTCTCGGAGCCACTGGGCCTCGTGCTGCTGCTGCTTCTCACTCTCCACCTGCAGACAGGAGACAGGGGGCTCAGCCTGACCCAGGGCCCTGCGGACCTGCTGCAAGGCGGGTCAGGGCTGTGACACCTCCCTATCATTCACTTGCCGGCATGTCCCATCACTACCTGGAGTCAGTATCTTCCAAAAATACAAGGCTTCCTAGTGACTTCTCTACTTGTATTTGAAAAATGACAGGGAAGAACATTTAAAAGTTGCCCAAGGAGGGCGGGGGAGACCAGTAAAGCTAACCTTCTTCAAATATTCTTATCATAACACTTCTGACTTTATAGCCAAATTTCTTCTAAAACTTCACAACAAATAAAAATAATTTTTTTTAAGATCGTATTTGTTTGAAAGAGAGACACAGAGAGAGGGAGGGAGGGCACAGAGGCAGAGGCAGAGGGAGAAGCAGGCTCCCCGCCGAGCAGGGAGCCCGACGTGGGGCTCAATCCCAGGACCCTGAGATCATGACCTGAGCCGAAGGCAGACGCTTAACGACTGAGCCACCCAGGCGCCCCCAAATTTTAAAATGTTACACACTCTCAGGGGTGTCTGGGTGGCTCAGGTGGTTAAGGTCTCACTCTTGGGTTTCGGCTCAGGTCACGATCTTAGGGTTATGAGATCGAGTCCTGCGTCAGGCTCTGTGCTCAGCTTGGAGTCTGCTTGAGAGTCTCTCCCTTTGCCCCTTGCCACTGACCCATGCCTGCACACACTCTCTCTCTCTCTCAAATAAACAAATATTTTTAAAAATAAAAATAAAAATGTTAGACATTCTCAAAATATCAAAAGCGGAAAGAAACAAATGAACCCCAGGAGGCACGGTGCCCAGAGAGCAGCTCCCCGGTGGTGCTGGGACAGGAGGCCCCCTGCCAGTCCGGGGGTGGGCGTGGGGGCAGTGTGTGCGTAACATGGGGCTGGGGACCTGCGGTCAGAGTCAACGTCAGGCCTCAGGTGGAAACACCCTCGGGACGCGTCAGACACTGACCTCTAGAAAGGCCGCGGCTGCCGCACCCCAGGCCCACACCCCGACAGGGCCCCAGTGGGGGCCCGGGCCTGTGCGCGATGGCGCCAGCACCGCGTCACCAAACACAGAGAAGCAACGGTGGAAGGAACCATCCCTGTGGACGGCACCTGAGACCAGGTGTCAAGGCCCCAGGTGACAGCACCGCCAGGATTACTGCCATTGGGATGCTGCCAGGGTGTTTGCAATCGGCGGGGCACCAGCCGTGCCCCGGGGCTCAGAGAGCCAGGGGGCTGCACACTCCCACGCCCCTTGGGGCACAGAACAGAGTCGGGGAAAGGTAGAGGCCACATGGACAGAGGCCTGAACGAGCTGCACAGAAGCCCACAGGTCAGTGTGCGCGAGGACAGCCAGACCAGTGACCAGCCCCGAGAGGAGGTCGGGGCGGCCAGGGCCACACAGGCCACGGAGGCAGGTGGGGTCTGGGACCGTCTGCAGCAGCCATGGATCTCCGGGTGGACAGGACACGGTACCGGAGACAAGGGGAGGGCCCACAGTGACTGCTGGGCTTCGGCTGGAACAGCTGGGCGACGTGAGGTGCTCGTTTCGGGCAGGTGGGAGGACTGGGCGTGGGGGGGGCCTGGTGTGCAGCTGAGGCCTGAGACGCCCACCAGGTTATCAGGGAGGTACAAGGCACTGGGCACTTTCAGCAGAGAGAGGTGGTCAGAGGTGGGGCCCTGAGAGCACCAGGAGGCCGAGTGGACGCAGCAGAGCCTGGACTGAGGCGGGGATGCCTGCGGGCCGAGCCAGCAGCGGGGCAGTGGGAGGGCGGCCAGGAGGCCAGGCTGGAGGCCGAGCAAGGACTGCACCCAGGAAGAGGGCGCGCGCTCCTGTGGGGCCCCTCTCAGGAAACAGGGAGCTCCCACGGGGACCAGCCCCAGCGGGCCCGTGGCCAGTGGGACTCACCATCTCAGGGCAGCCGACGACGTGGAACCTGCACGGGACTCGGCACTTGCCGCATGCCCTGACGTGGTCCTGGAACTAGAAGGACAGACGCTCTAAGTGCCTCTACTTTCTCTTCCCCGCCCGTGCACGCTTTAGTCTCACACTAAACAAAACCTGACAACCCCGCTCCAGAGCCAAAGGTGCATAAGCGCACACGCACACGTACGTGCACACGCAGCTTGCAGGTGTCAATAAAGGGAGGTGGGTGCAGGCTGAGGGACTCACACTGCGGGCCAATGTCCCAGAACACCTGCAGACACCCCTCCCGTGCTTGGGCCTCTGCGTCCCGGACTCTCTGCTCGTAAGACATGTGGTGTCTGAGGCCCCAGGGCCTTGGGACCAAGGAGGGGCCAGCCTGACCAGGGGTCAGACACCCACCACTGACCCAGCGTGGCGCTGGCGCACGACCACACAGAGCCCCACAGAATAGATGCAGAACCCAGAAAGGAAACCACACACGCGCTGGGCACTGACCCAGCAGCCCCTCCTGCCGGCAAAGACAAAGGTGGATGATTGCTCTCAGAAGTGGGTGAGGGCAAGGGGCAGCCACAGGACCACTTAAGAGAGGTCCCTCTGCCTCTATCCGCCAGGGCCCTGGAATGACAATCAGAGCTACTAACGCCAAATGGAAACACAGACAAAACATTAAAGGACAAGGGACTGTAACGCAAGCTACCCAACACTTAGAATTCAAAAAAAACAAGAGAAAAGAAGGACTAAGATTCTCTCCCCACCACAAGAAATGGGCAGGAGTCCCCAGTGGTCCCCGGTCCCCAGTAAGAGAAACACAGGTGAGCCCTAAGCAAAAAGCCCCAACGGATTCATGATTTGAGAGACGCACACTGAACCTCCTGGGACAGTCTTTCTCACGCATCACCTGGCGAGCCCCCAAGGGTGTCACCACACCTGCTGGTGGGGCCGGGACCAGCACCCTGACCTGGCAGCACACTGTCCCTGGTTTTCACTCTGGACCACACAACCGTTTTACAAAACTACAAGACAATTTGCTCCAGAAGGGCAATCTTAAGAGACTTGAAAGCAGAGAGACAAACGGCAGCTGGCTTACCACCGAGAGACTGCCTCCCAGGACCGCCAGACGCAGCAGCCTGACCGTGCGTTCCACAAGAGCAGAAGGAGCCAGAGACAGGCCGCCAGCACACAATCAAGGACTGGCGTGGGCAGCGGTGGGGCTGCGTCTGCGGGGGCAGCACCTACCACCATGCCCTGCAGCAGGAAGAGCTACAAACACGGACACCAGGCAAAAATCGTAACCACAACTACCAGTATGAACCCACGACGTACTTTCTCTTAAAATGGAACATGAGGGGCGCCTGGGGTCTCAATGACTCTTGGTTTCAGCTTAGGTCATGATCTCAGGGTCGTGAGATCGAGCCCCACGTCGGGCTCCCCGCTCAGTGTGCAGTCTGCTTGTACCTCTCCCTCTGTCCCTCACCCCACTCTGCTTGCGGGCTCATGCTCTCTCCCAAACAAAATTAAAAAAAAAAAAAAAAAGCAGAGTCCCACTGAGGCCACCAAAGTGTTCTGGATGAAAGGCAGTGCGTGGGCAGGCCCTGGGCCAGGGTCTCAGGCGTGTGTGACTTCAGGCTGGGTCATTTCCACCTCCGGAAGTGTCACAAAAAAGCGACGCACAGGTGACCTAACCCTCTCGCCACAAGCCATTGCTTCTCCTTCCGGCGCCAGGTCAGAGCCCCGCACCGCGGCGTGAGCGCCTCCCCGCCACCGCGCCCCACCCGCCTGTCCCCGCAGGCGCCGGCAAACAACTTACTTTCTCCCGTGAGATCTTCTTCTTGCCACAGCCATCGCAAGTCAAGGGGAACTTGGGGCAGACCTCGTGGTGGGCCTGAAAGACATGGTCAGGGGCCAGGGTGTGTGCGAGGTCACCCGTGCCGTCTCACGGCCTTATTCTGGGGCGGCGGTTCCCCTGAGACCTCCAATGGGGGGCGTCCTGCAGGCGCTCAGAGGCCTCGGAGAACCGCCTCTTCGTCTGGCAGCTCCAGGGCAACGCGAGAAGGACGAGCCAGCCAACGGTGACTCGGGGAGAACACTGCTGCGGGTCACCCTAACTGAAACCGGGCCGCTCTGGCCCCGAGGAGCAGGGCTGCTGGGACTGACCACGGCCCTGCGAGGGGATGGACCGCCCCCGGGAGACACCCTGGGCGGCCCGACGCACCCTGGCCCTCGGCAGGCCACGGCCCTGAACGGCTTACAGACGAGGGGGCGGAGAAACGCAGCAAGGGCTCCTTGGGGACACGGTCGGCTGGCAGCGCAGCCCAGCTCCTTTAATAAATAGCGGGAAAGGAAAGACAGCCGCAGAGCACCATTAAAGACGAAGAGATCCTACAGACACGTCATCGAGGGGCAGTGTGGGGACAGATGCTCACAGACGCCAACGGACATGGGCAGCGAGTGAGTCAGGGAGAGCAGGGAGTCGCCTCAGAAGTAACAGTAACGCATACAGCTCTCCAGAAACAAACATGCTCATAAACAGTCTCAAGGATCTTCAGGGAGAACGACACAAAGCCTGGGACCCACGCACTAAGCATGGGGAGCCCGAGGCAGCCCGGTGAGGGCCGACACGGACACGTGTGAGTGAGGGTGGCATGGGCCTGGCACCGCTGCTCTGTGTGTGCATTTTTCTAAAATAACAACTGAGCTTCGCCTTCATACCCAACGCAGTTCCCCACCCAGAACCTTCTACCTAAGTGGCTGCAAGGGAAGGGCTGGCGGCACGCAGCGAAAACACCAAACCAGCCGCGATGGCAGCAGTCAGCTCTGCGTGGTGGCGGCAGCCCCCAGGGCGCCCTCACCTTCATGTCCGCCCAGCAGCAGGGCGCCCGGCAGTGCCGGCAGCTGAGGCTTCTCTCTGGGCACTCGTGCTCTGAGTGACGCTCCTTCTCCCCCAGGCGAACCAGGCCTTTGCATGCCGGGCACTCGGTCAGCATGAACGGGCAGTGTCCTTCATGGCAGCTCTGGCAACAAAGGGAGCAAAAGTGTTGACAGAGCGCACAGGGGAACCCGCAGGCTGCCATCACTGGGCTCCGCGTGTGCAGAGACAGCCGCCCCGCCGAGGGCCACTGGGACCCTGCACCAACCCCACAGTGCCAGGCTAGGGGTGCCGCTCCACGGGCCAAGAATCTCATTCACTGCAATATCTGTGCTCCGGGTCAGAGACGAGTGGGGCGCAAGTCGAGCTGGTTGCACCCCACCCATGTGACACCCCAAAACATCCCTCCCTGGGGATGCTCCAGAGTGACATTCAGGGACAATAGGACCACTGTCCAGACAGTGAGGGGGCCGCAGAGGGCAGGGACAGCGTGGGGTAGAGAGAGGCAGGAGCAGAGGGAGGGCACTCCAAGGGGCGACAGAGCCCGGGCCCCAGGCGGGGGGCCGGGCAGGTGGAGGGCCTAGAGCAGGGCCGCTTCTAAGTGGACAAAAGGCCCAGGGGTGACGAGAGTCTGTGTGCTGGGAGGACAGGCCACAGCAGCCAGACTAGCAGCCCACCTACTTGTGCCAACACCCTCGCTGACAGCCCGCACCGGTGGTGTGGCCGGGGAGGGTGTGGCGACGTAGGGAAGCAGGGCCCAGCCCAGGGCCCTCCAGCTGACAGCACCCAGGAGGAAGGCGGCCATGTGCTGCCCCTTCTGGAGCCACAGAACCACATGCAGGTGGGAGCGGGAACCCAGCCGAACCCCCAGGTGGTGGCTTTCCTGAGCGGGGAAGGTGGTGGCAGAAAAGATGGGGAAGGGCGGCAGGAAGGACCCGGAGCCCACAGCCCAACACAGCCTGCAGGTCCATGGCAAGCTTGCCAGGAAGGGGAACTGCAAAGGGGCGCAGGCTGGAGGAACAGGGAGCTCAAGGTTTGTCTCTTGTTAAGTGATTTTTATTGTGGTAAAACATACACAACAAACTTTACCATCTTCACTGCTTTTAAGGGCATCCGTGTGTTCACGCTGCTGTGCACCGACCCCTCTGTCCGTCCCCAGAACACGGTCATCTTTCCACACTGGACCTTGTCCTGTTAAACCCTGCCCCCCCCCCAACCTCCCACCCCCGCGGCTGTGGGGCTGACTCCTCCGGCCTCCTGGGAGTTTCCACTCACACACGGGATTGGTCCTTCTGTGCCGGGCTGACCTCACTGGCACCATGTTAAGTTTTGGGCAGGACACACTAGGGCACATTGGGGACAACGTGGAGCCTGCTGCGGAAGGAGGGGGAGGTCACTGTGAAAGAAGTTCTGGACTGGCCCAGAGCAGGAGGAGGCCCTCCACCGTGGGCTCAGCATCTCCACAGAAGTCTGGGCAGGGGCAGCCAGGCCGCGATGCCCTCCTGAGGGACTGGGTCTTCAGGGCTCCCCCGGAGAGCCTGGTCGTGGCACACTTGAGAGGAGCAGGGAGGGCCTCAGACGTGCTGTTCCCGAGCGGGAAACACGCTGGCCGTGTCTCCATCTCGTGCCACAGGCTTGGCTGTAGGCGCCAAAGCCCAGCACTTCCAGAGGGAGCAGAAGCAATGGGTGAGCTCCAGGGAGACGCAGCTCATGTGCGGCGCCATTCCCGCCAGTCTTCCCACGTGGAGACTGCAGAATCACGGCCGGTGGGGCCCACACCTCCTCACAGGACCCCACGCCACAAGCTCCCGGAGCAGGCACCCCTGCCCTCTGACCTCCCACGGGGTCACACCCCAGACCAAATGCCACACTCCCAGCCAGCCTCCCCAGTGACCCCACGGCAGCCCAGCAGAGCACCCCACAGGCTGCCCCGCGAGGTCTGCTGTCGGAAGGACGCACACCAGGCAGGCCGGCCGGCCAGGACACCCCCTGCCACACGACGCCCCGGATGCTGTGGCCCAGCAGAGGAGCACTCCCGCACTGTCGCTGCAGCCTGCTGGGCTCCCTGCCGGACGGCCTAGCCCCCCACGATCCGCCTGCACTGCAGCAGAGCATAACCTCCTGGAACCCCCAGGGCTGTGGCAGATGGACCGCACCGCCTGGGCCACACCAAGTACGTGATAAACAATCACAGTGAACCGAGGAGGAGTCCCAGAGATGGTCACAGCTCACAAAACGGCAAAGATACAGCACCTATAGTCAAGGTGCTTGGGCTTGATTAGGACTGTTGTTGAACGCACAATAAAATACTTGCAGGAGCGACGTAGGGGCCCCAAAGCAGCACAGAGCGGCCAAGGGTGCACAGTGCTCTGCGGACTGCCACCCCCGGTGGTGTGTCTGACATCGGAGACCTGCACACCTGTCACCCCAGGGCCACCTCTGAGCAGACACACAGCACCACCTCATGGGCTCAGAGGGACCACCCTCGCGTCGGCTCCAAGAGAAGCACACACTTTGGAGAAATCAGTATTTATTCAACCAGAATTCAAACCAAGTGTCCCAGCGAACAGAGCTGTGTAGACTCTGAACTTACTGGGATGTGTGGGGTGACCGAGCATGCCTGGCTCGGCCTTGTCTTTCAACTGCGGCCTCCGGGCACCTAGGTCTCCTCTCCGGGCCCTTCTCTGGAGAGCCTTCCCCCCGCCAGCCGGCCCCTCCTCTGCCGCCAGCCACAGGCTCTAGGCCTGTTCCCAGAGCAGCAGCCCGGGGGCTGTGCACTGGGGCACCTTCAGCACTTGGCAGGGGCTCCACAAATGTCTTTGACCTGAACCGGAGTTTTAAGTCATTGCATTCTTAGAAAATACTAGACATGTCGCAAAGGAAAATCACATTCCAAGGCTAACCAGGACTTCCCAAACAGCTCAGCCACAGCACCAGCATTTCACAATGCCACCACGAGTTCGAGCACCGCAAAGGGCAGCCGTGTTGGCTCGGAGTGGCGGGCGGGTGTGCTCGGAAGCCTTGATCTCGCCCAAGCCTGTGACGTTCACACCCAGGGAGAGGTTTTACCAAAGGGCCAGGCCTAGTGTCCCAGAGCAGCGCCCGCCCTCCCACATGACCAAACCCACCCTCTCAGGGACTTTCCGGGGCTCTCCGGGCCAGCCAGGGACTTTCCAGCCTGCATGCCTGCAGGGCCGTGGCCGAGCCCACAGGCTGGCTGTGGTCCCTGGCCCTCAGCTGGAGGCCCATGAAGCCACCGCCTGCCCGCACCACGGGCCTGGAGGCAGCAGAAACCAGCCTCCCAGAGTGGAAGGTGGGGGTTATTCCACCTGTCCCCAGGGGGGTTTCTGGGTCCCCGCAGAAGGCAGCACAGCTCCCCATGTCTACTCCCTGTGCCCCCCATGGTCTCCTACACCCACCCAACCCGCAGAGCCTGCTGGGGCTCTCCACCCTCCCAGGAGAGACCCCAAACCCAAGGCCTACTCTCTGGACAGCCCCAGGCAGTAACAGCTGTAACAGCTGCAGAGCAGAACCTCCCACCTGCATGTATGCAGCCCAGGGGCCTCTGGGTCTCACTCCTAGGAAGGCATCAGAAAGGGCGTGGGGAGCCCAGAGCTGCTTCACTTCTAGGCCTCAGGTGCCCACTGGCAGGAAAGTGTGTCTCCTAGCCTACCCCACCAAAGGCTCCTCCCTAGACACGGCCAAGCTGCTCCTCTGGAAACACACAGCTTACAGCCTGAAGACCAGAAAGTCTGGCTGGTCAAGAGAATGAGGGAAGTTCGGCACACAGGCCGGGAGCAGGAAGGGAGAAGGCTGCTAGGAGCTCAGGTCCCACTTCCAGCCCCAACGGGCCCTCCGCCACTATCACGACTCAGTGTCCAGCGCCCACCTCATGGCAGGGGCTATCCCGGGGTCGGGGCAGGAGAGTGCCTGCGCTTAGGAGAGCCAGGGTTCCATACCAACAGCCCCTCCAGCCTCGCCAACAGGGCTGTCCATTGTGAGAAGCCAACCTGCTACTCTGCACCACTCCCGCCCTCCTGTCCGGGCAGCCACCCTGCCCCTTCCTGCCTCTCTGGCCCTCACAGGGGCGGACTCCCACAGGACATGTCCTCGAGGACAGGCTCACTTCACTGAGCACGATGGCCTCAAAGTCCACCCACATGTCAGGATTTCCTTCCTTCCTTTTTATGGCTGAATCCTATTCCATGGTGTGGACAGACTACATTTGGTTTGTCTCTTCACCTGCTGGTGGACACCTGGCTACCAGGACGTCTGTGTGCCAGTAACCGTCTGATGCGCTAGTTAAGAAGAGGGGATGGCCAAATGCGTGAGCTATGGAGGCCGCCCGCTGTAGGCCTGGCCTCTAGCTGCCAATCACGCAGAAGCCCCCCCCGGAGGCTGACAGAGGCCTCGGCAACATAGGCACACCAGCCCCTGCCCTGTCACTGGCCAGGTGACTTCCTGTGACCACAGACCAAATGTGCAGCTTACTCTCGCAATTTCCAATGTCTGTACAATTCAAAATGAGAAAGCCCTTGTCTGAAAACACACGGAAAGATCCCACCGACCAAAAAAGCTCCTTTCCTGCACATTCCGGGAGATGCTGCAGCGGTGCCCTCAGAGCGAACACGAGGTCTGCCACCCTCTACAGCATTCCGCCCAGCAGGAAATGGGGCCCAGCGAGGTAACTCCCCCTTCTGAGGCATGATCCCCCTAAGTCTGCGTGCACCTACGGGGAGCAGCTAGGCACTCCCTGGCGGGCTCGTGTAGACTCCGTGTGATCATTTTAGGGGCGGGGTTCAGGCTTGGGAGGCCGTGCCAGCGCAGGGGGCCCCTACCTCATACTCTTTAAGAGTCCCCTTCCAGGTGCAGCCGTCGCTGGGACAAACGGCCGGCAGGCTCTCCACCTCCCTGCGTGCAGCGTTGTCTGGGAAAGCCTGAGGAAAGCATTCCTAGGGTTAGGCCGCCTCCTCCCAGCTGCCCGCCACCCTACCCTGCCATCAGTGCTGCAAGTCTTCCAGACTGAGGCCCAGGACCAAGACGCTCTCTCCCAGCGCTCCAAGCTCTCGGCGTGACCGTGGCAGGGAGGGGCACATCCTAGCTAGCTGCTCAAGCACCACACAGCCAGCGGTGTTGTTAAAAGAAACGCCAAAACGTTTTCTGTTCATTTTGACATTTTTTGCTTGAAGACTTTTCACTTACCGAACCGCTTTCCAAAATGGAAATGCCTTCTTCGTATATGCCCTCGTGAACGCAGGCAGCACAGTTCTGAGGCCCGGAGCTAGTGAGGAAAGGGGGAAAGGCCCACCATCAAACCCGCTGCAAAGAACGCTGTGTGCAACTCTCCACCCGAGTTCTGCGCCTTCCAGACTGACAGCGCATCACTCAGGAGCACGCATCGACGTACCACAATGAAAACCTTTAAAATGGGGGATAAGATCCAAACCCTCTAATCATGTCGATCCCTTCCACTGTGAACAGAGGTGCTCTCTGATGGCCCACCACTCGGGGCCAGGTCCCCAGGAAGGAGCTGCTGGCTCCCTGCGCCCACCCCAGCCCTCCATGTGCCACGGGGCCCCGCCCTCAAACTAAAGGCTGCGGGCTCTTGGGGACGTGTTCATCATCTGGAGTAGCACATCCACTGCAAACGGTCTTGTGCCCACGTGACAAACTAGGAACAGCCGGGAACGGACTGTGACGTGTTTATTTCAGCCCCGCGTCCAAGTCCACGTGCAACCCATCCTCCTCCGTTACTAGCTTCACGCTCTCGTTTGCAGTGAACCTCTGCCGTCAGGGAGCACCACCCGGAGCACATCCCCTGCGGACGCGTGCGTGCCTGGAGCCACCTCCCTGGGCAGCACGGCCCCGAGGCGAGCCCCACTGCCCGCCACCTGCGCGCAGTACCTCAGGATGCTGGTCAGACAGTAGGAGCAGTAGCGGTGGCCACACTGTGCCTGGAAAGGCCTGCGCAGGATGTTCCTGCAGGCCGAGCACAGGTACTTGTCCTCCGGCTTGGTCCCCAGGAGGGTCTTCGAGAAGCCAGGTTGCAACAAGTCTAGGGAGCCGGGAGGGGTCACGCTGGCTGCAGCCATGAGAGCCGCAAACCGCCACGTCCTAAGGAAGAACACAGAACGCGTCCTGGAGAGTCCTAAGAGGTGCCTCAACTCCAGGGTCCTCCTCCAGGGAAAACAGCCCTTGCCCGGCGGTGAGGTGCCTGGGTTGTCAAGCTACCGGTGGTCAAGAATCTGAGAAGCAAGACTTTAGCACTCTGGAGAGCGTTGGAGACAATCTAATCCAAGTTCCCACTACACGCATGGCAGCCAAGGCTTCGCCAGGGGGCAACCTGCTCACGCCGCACCAGCATGCCCTCCTGAAGCCTCTAGACCAACAGGCTGCTCTCAAGGTCACCCAGCCTACCACGGACAGAGCGTGTGCCGGCATCGGAGGACGCCACCTTCCCGCCAACACTGGCCATCCGCAGTCCTTGATCCTGTGCCTTCCTGTCTAGCCCAAGCTCCTACAAATCAGCCCGGCAGGAAATTCTGACCGGCTGTGCTCGGTCTGAGGCAGTAGCCAAGAGGTGGCCACCCTACACACTGGCCTCCAGTGTCACCCGAGAGGAGGCATGTAGCCCGCTTGGCACCACGGCTCTGCTCCCCGGCCACCGTCACCAGGGTCCCTCTCACTTGAGAGCTGCCCTCTGCTAACCTCTAGGCCTTGGCAAGGCCCCCGAGGCAAGGCAACCAGGACGCACAGCCGGATGGGGGAGAGGCTTCCACAGCATCCTGAGACCGGAACGCACTGTTCAATGTCCAGCATCTCAAAAGCAACTGTACCTGCGAACCCTTAAAAAAGGACAAGTACCCGACAGCCCCTGAACATGAAGCACTATTAACTCAGAGCCGCCCTGGCCCCTTTGCAAATGCTCCAAAGAGCTTCCTTCCCCAAATGCCCCTGGAAACACGTCCCTGGGTCTTCTCCCGGATGTGCATGGGGAGCACATCAACTTCCAAACCAGGACATTCTGAAATGATGTGCCTCTTTCCTATGTCCGTAAGGCGGTCTTCAGTGTCCTGAGCTGGTCAGACACCACAGAAAGCAGCGACAGACAGTGTGTCCCTGTTTCCTATCTACTGGGCAAAGCCACTTTCGGTCAAGGCTTCTGGATTTGTAATCTGTGAGGCCCTGCTTGGGCTGGCATGCCAGAGCGCACAGGTTATATTCTTATAACCTGCAATTACTCCTCCAACCACCGGACAGACGGAGGGTCGTGCCCACGGCCACTCGGCAGGATGGCACGAGTCCTTCTCGCTGGTCCACACACTGTCAGCACGTGTGGGCGTGTCTGGGCCCCTGGACCATCCCTCTGTCCCTCTGACAACTGGGGGATTTCATTCTTTCGAGCCCTCATGACACAAACATGTAAGCACCAGAAAGTGCCACTTAATAAAGCCTTTGGTGGAAAAGCTAACCCAAAAGCTGGAGAGCTCACGGATGCACTAACAGTGCTGGCCAGGGCAGCCAAGGAGGGAGGATGCCCTCAGCCCGCATTTTTCAAGGCCATGTCTGTGCTGCCCACAAATTCTGGCTGGAGCGAAAGGCCCGTGCGAGCCTGCTCGCTCTCAGGCACTCTGCACGTTCTGTCTTTTTTCTGGTCGCGCCACTGAACTGATTTCACGAACCATCAAAGATCTGAAAATCACTGCTCTATAAACTACATTAGACAGAGACTTTTACCTTTAAATAATACTAGTGGGGAAAAAAAGGCACACTCTTCAGATCTCTACCTTATGTTCAATTCATGAAGTGAAAAAGAGCATCACATATAAAGGATGCTAAATTCAGTCCTGTTTTATACGGACAAAGAAAAAAAGTAAAATAAGAAACAAACACCATCATGACAGGGCACAAGGGCTATGGGGATGCTTTTCTCATTTTAAAACCTCACCAAACAGCTTCCCTCAGCATCTGTGAGACGAGGCTTTATTCTTTGGCATCGATGTTCCATCTACTTGAAGCCAGGTCCATCTTTTTGGCCGACTGATCACTCCTGTGGCAGACTGAACTCATTTTACTAATCCATCAACGTGTACTCCCGTTAGATAGAAAAGAACCACACAAATGGTCTCTTTTTCCAAGTGATGAAAAAGGTGAAAGACCGCAACACACAGCCAGGCCTCGATGACCTCACCAACACAGCCTACTCAGCAGTCACAACTGCCTGACACAGCACCCCCCTGACGGTGGGGGTATTTCTGTTCTGAATGTGGAGAAGTGGCCCTGGAGAGCCCAAGGAGCCCACCCACACCACGCACCAGCCCACAGGTCCTGCCACTGCCCATGCTGTGCCTGCGGAGTTCCCAGCTTACGTCCTTAAACGTGTTATTCAAATCTCATCCATACACATTTGATTTTTTGAGAACTGTAACGAAAAGACATCATAAAGACTCAAGAGTGTTGTGCCAAAATGTAACACTTTGAGGGACACCTGGGTGGCTCAGACGTTAAGCATCTGCCTTCAGCTCAGGTCATGATCCCAGGGTCCTGGGATCAAGTCCCACGTCGGGCTCCCTGCTCAGTGGGGAGCCTGCTTCTCCCTCTCCCTCTGCCTGCCGCTCCCCCTGCTTGTGCTCTCTGTCAAATAAATTTAAAAAGTTAAAAAAAAAAAAAAAAGTAATACTTTGAAGACCATCAACACTAAGTCCTGCTGCTGTGGTGTGGTGCTTGCCCCAACCCTAGAAGACTTCCGTCTCTGGCCCTGAACTTCTGAACCTCTAGGTGGTCTGCACACGTCCACCCATCTGGAATTACATGGGGCCTGGGGGCCTCCCTGGGTGACCGGCGCAGCCAGCAGCACCAGACACAGGCGCCGAGGACTGGGGGGGGGGGGGGGGCAACCGGCTATACTGCATGTAGGAGAAAAGGACTCAGGAGTCAGAAGCACCCCAACCTAGAACCAAAACGCCCTACTGGTCCTGTCAAGCTTCCAAATCCTCTCGTGAGTAAGCTGGTTATAAACATTTGCAATGATTCGTGGGAACGTGGGAACCAAGCATTCCCATTCAGCCTGTCCTGGACTTCATATTCATTCCCCAAAATCAAGCTTCAGACGTGAATGCACACACTTTGTACAACCAACAGACTTGTGTTTTGTTAAAAGACCATTTCTACCAGAGAGAAAACAGTATGTCCAGAATGGTTCCAGTTATCTGAAGTTTGAGGACAGACAAAGCTGGCCTGTGATAACAGAAGCTGGGAAGCAATCCCCTTTGGCGGCATGGGGCTGTGACACACTGGAGACTCGCTCCTCTTCCTTGTTCCTGGCACAAAGCTCCTAAAACCCCTGGGATTTCCCGAGCCACGGGGACAGGGAAGCCTCTCTGTTTTTCATAAGCCCCTTCCACATCCGCCCCCCACCACCAGGGAGGGGGGAGGGGCTGGAGATTGACCTAATCACCAATGACCAATAATTTAATCAACCATGCTTTCATGACGGAGCCCCCATAACCTCATGAAGAATGAGGCTCAGAGAGCTCCACAGTGCTGAGAGAGGGGCGTGTTGGAGAGCATGGAAGCTCCGCGTCCCTGTCCCACACCTTGCCCTGTGCATCTCTGCCATCGGGCTGTTTCAAGGAATTGGTGTTTGCTGGAGTTCTGTGAGCCACTCTAGAAACCACTGAACCCAAGGAGGGGGTCCCGGGAACCACATATTTGGTGTCAGAAGTACCGTGAGTAGAGAAACACAGCCCTTTCCCATTCAGGGGGTCAATGCCTGCAAGAGGCAGGAGGGGGCCTTTTGGGGTGCTGGAAATGACCGTATACGTCGACAAAGGTGCATCTAGCTGTATTCTTAGGATTTGCACATTTTGCTGCATGTATACCTCAACTTCAAAAAAAAAAAAAAAGATGGAATTTCTAACCCCAAAGAGTCAAAAAAGGCCTTTAAATCCCTAATTATGGTACACCCATGCATGTTTATCCAAAATAACCCTGTCTTATAACATTAAAAATGGCAGAGCAACCTGAAAACCAGGTTCTGACATGGAAGGGTTAGGGTTAGAGTGGGGGCATCCAGCCCCTTGACAAGCCCAGGTTCTGCGTCAGTGCGGAGCAGGAGGACCCAGGGAAAGGGGCGTCCCCGCGAGGAACCACTGGCTGAGCTGGAGGCCACAGGGCAGCTGGCACCACTGTCCCAGCCTGGGGCATGAGATGGGGTAGTGGTGTAAGTCCCCAAACTAACGTCAAATGAGGCATGGGAGCACCTGGCTGCTGGGGTGGGTGTCACCAAGCCGCCAGCAGGCACAGGGGTTCAACCCTCAGCCTGTGATACCCCAAACGCCAGGGACTCAACTTCCCAAATTCATGTCCTCACCGACAGCCAGTTCTGTTTTGTCCAATACTGGGATTCCATGCCCGATTTTACCTGGTTCCACCCAGTTCCAACACACCTGCCTAACAAGCCCACTGAAGCAATATTCGAGAAGGCCGATCAGCATGCAGCTGGGAGCACAAGACAACCCCCACCCCCTCGCCCGGAACTAGAAATCCAGTTTAAAATATATAATTTTATACTTAAGTTCATCTTTTTCCAGGCTCAGCATAATGCCAAATAGTAGCCTGGTACCAACTTCACGCCCAACAACTGTTTCCATCGCGAGCAGATACTGTGGGGGAGCGTTTCTAGTCTGAAGTGCTGGCTCACATGTCTTCACACGATCTACATGCTGATACTGTCTATGATTCAAAACTGGGGCTCTCTCAACAGGGACAGGGTGATCCGTCAGTCATGATGCAGCAACTCTGTCCCTTCTTCCGCCTGACCCTAGTGACCACCCTGCTCCCCTGCCCCTCTCCCTGACCTCTGTCAGTGCCCGCACTTCCCCCTGCCCCGAGAGCTGCAAGCCCATCAGCTCAGCCCATCGGCGGCTCCAGCCACACTCTGAGACCACTCTCTCTCATCCACTCACCTTGAACAGCTCCGCCCTCCACAAACACCCAGAATCTGACCGCACTGCGACTGCTGGGCCCTGGCCGTCGTCCCCCGTGACCTGATACACAGCCACAGCCTCTTGTGGTCCTCCCAGCAGCCAGAGGGGCCTTTGGCT